CCCCCTGCATCGGCAGGCGGACTCTCAACCACTGCACCACCAGGAAAGCCCGGGGATTCTTTTTGAAGTAATGAAAATGTTCTGAAGTCCAGTGTGATGTTGGGTACACAACTTTGAACACAGTCAAAACCATTGTACACTTCATGTGTTGTGCTGTTTTGTTTTTTTTTTGTCTGTGCTGGGTCTTCGTTGCTGCACGCAGGCTTTCTCTAGTTGCGGCGAGTGGGGGCTACTCTTTGTTGTGGTGCGCACGCTTCTCACTGTGGTGGCTTCTCTTGTGGAGCACGGTCTCTAGGAGCACGGGCTTCAGTAGTTGTGGCACGCGCGCTCAGTAGTTGTGGCGCATGGGCTTAGTTGCTCCGCAACATGTGGGATCTTCCTGGACCAGGGACTGAACCCGTGTCCCCTGCCTTAGCAGGCGGATTCTTAACCACTGCGCCACCAGGGGAGTCCCGAACTGTACACTTTAAACGGGTGAATTGTATGTTATGTGAATTATACCTCAATAACACCGTAACAACAAAAAAAATTAATTGCAGTGCTAGATACATGCAAAGCAATCCAAGGATACCTCTCCTATCTTGGCAATTACAAGAGGACAAACGAAAATAAAATGATTCATCCCTTTGTATCTCAGTTATCTATACTGACTGGTCTGTGCACATTCGAGGCTGGAAACTGGGTTGAATTTTTCTAGTCGTGTCAGTCATGATTTATATCCCCTTCCAATAAGCAGCATTCCTCCTTTGCATGTCTGCAAAAATCTCACGCAGGGCTTGGTGTGAAGGGGGCTTGATTCAAGAAAAGGACTAAAATACTCAGAAAAGGTCTTGCAACTGCAATTTTATTTTCTTTTGTGAAAATAAACAACTGGGAGTTTAAATTGCTCCAAAAAACCCCATAAAAATGAAAAGAAATACACACAGAAGCATGTGAGGTGATGGGGGAAGGAGGAGGGTCTTTAGAGCTTTGGCAGATTGTGCTAGCACGGACCTGGGTGACAGGAGCCAGACCTCGAAGCCAGGTCCTGTCTGCCACTCTGGGGCTGTGAGGGGACATCTCGACTGGTAAGGGGCGGGGGGGGGGGTACACAGGCTTCTTCACTGAGGAAGTGGCAGGCACCTTGAGTCCCTTTAAATGCGGGGAAGAACCACTGCAGAGGACCTCTTCCCCCGCCAAAAGCTGGAGACCGGGGCATTATGGCCACTGAGGGAAAAGGGATGCTGGTGGAGACAAATGAGGCTGAGGTGTCTTCTCACATGGTGACAGCCTTACACTGGGCAGAGGACGAAGGTGAAGGCAAGAACCCACGGAGCTGAGCAAAGGAGAAAAACGTGGGCCAGGTAAAAGGGAATGTCTGGGAATGGGATGTAGATGAAGAGGCTGCGGGCTAGAAATGGCAGCAATGGCCAACAGGCAGGCTGAGTGGGGGAAGCCGGGATGCTGGGGGGTGATGGGAAGAGGCAGGAGGGCAGAGAGTCCAGGAGGTAGAGACAGAGGTGCCTTCTGCCCAGGTCCATCCACCGCTGCACATACAGGAAGAATAACACACTACTTTTCAGTTCTTGTTTTTTAAAGATTTTTGTTTTGTTTTGTTTTGTTTTTTAAAAAAGCCTTAAGATCAGCTACTGGTTACATCTACAAAATGTAAAGTGCTGCTGTTACCAGTCACTTTACAGAACAGTCCAGAGTGGTCAAATATTGACCAATAAAGTTTCCTTTTTTTTTTCTTTTTCTTCTTCTGCATCATTACTACTCGATGAGTCACGTGACAGCCTGCATAGGTCAGTGGGCAGCTTAGTGGGCAGACTTGGTGACCAAGGAAAGAGGCTGGGCCTGGAGCACGGGGAGGGCCTGGTGGGCATGGAGCGTGGCTGGGAAGGAAGGGGGGGACGTCAGCAGAGCTGTGGGCACGGACCCCAGGGGGAGGGGCCGGGACAGGACGGGGGGCTGGCTGCCCATCTGGCCAGAGGAGGTGGCGGCAGCCTTCGCTGACAGGAAGGTAGCCGAGTGGAGAGCCAGCTGGGCTCGGGTCTCTGGCTTGGTGGTGAGGGAGAGGGGCTGGGCTTGCTCTGAGTGGGTGGCGGCCGGGGCAGCTGGGGAGGCCAAGGCCGTGGAGGGTGTGGCCGGCGAGTCCAGCATGCTGCCGTGGGAGGAGGCAGGACTGTCACAGGGCTTCTCAGGGGGCAGGTACTGGACACATGGCTTCTTGCTTTTGGAGGCCAGAGCACCTAGGGGAAAAAAAAAAACCACACAAAAGAGTTAGCAGCTAGGAGCGCGGGGGGAGGCGGAGGTTGCCGAGGAAGCCCAGCTGTACACATCAACTCCGGAAACAAGAATGCGTACAGGGAGGGAAGTGAGAACCTGAAATGACGGCTATGGCTTTCAAGACACCTAGAGCACAGACAAGGGGCAATGCCCAAATGCCAAAGACCCATTCAGATCCTGCCTGGAAGGAAAATAGCTCAGCCTATCACATCATCATCTTACTGCTGAAATCTCATCATTCTGGGAATGGATCTCCACTCAATTTGCTTTAAGATCTTTGGTTTATGGTGCTGTCAGAGATAGTACAGCATCTGCTAAGCAATGTGGTATACAGTGGATTTTGCATCATATACATAGTTAACTTACATGTACTCCTATGGAGATGAATACGCAAATTATACAGATATTAGAAAGGTAGGAAAGGAGATGAAAAGAAAAGCAACGTGATAAAGAGCACTTTAGGAGACTTCCCTGGCAGTCCAGGGGTCAGGACTTGGCGCTTTCACTGCTGTGGCCCTGGGTTTGATCCCTGGTCAGGGAACTAAGATCCCACAAACTGGGTGGTACAGCTCTCCCCCTCCCCCCCCCCCAAAAAAGCACTATAGATGGAACTAAACAAGTTTTGCACTTGTCCTGGAGTGAGCATGAGATGCCCCCCCCCCCCAAAAAAAGCACTATAGATGGAACTAAACAAGTTTTGCACTTGTCCTGGAGTGAGCATGAGATGGGAGGGCTTGAATGAAATACTGGTCACAGTGTGAGCATCTCTCTGCTGGGTGTGATTCTGGTGTAAAAAGATACACTAGATATTTGTGGCACAAAGGGCCCCCCCCCAATCCAAGTGAACAATCATTTCTGATATTCGACCAAACAAACATTGGAAGAAAACCTGATTCTACTGGACTCACTGATAGGTGATATGTCCATTCCTCATGGGCTGCCTTCCTAAGGGAATTTCAAGGATCATTTCAGCGACATTCAGTTTTTACCTTATGCATTGATTTTAGAACCTAACCCTCAAATAAGACACAACTCAACTGAATTGAAAAGAGCCTTCCAAGTGACAAAGTGCTGGACCATTTAACAAGCAGAGTGACTGGAAAAATCCCTTCACTTCTTCGAGCCTCTTAACAGATCATCTCCAAAAAGGGGATATTAATAACACCCCCCCCCGAGTGTACACAAGGCTGAGGCCTTGAAAATGGCAGCTATCATAATACGGCATTGTCACCATGTCCATCAGAGACCCGGGTACAAAGTGCTGGCGGGTGTAGCTGGGACAGTGGGAAAAAGAGGTAAAGACGCAGGGCCCTCCTGAGGACTCACCGTCTGCCTCCTGGACTTGCTGCTGGGACTGGGTCTGGGACAGCTGCTTTTCTCGCTTCCTCTTCTTTTTCTTACCCTGAAAGATACGGCCAAAGGAAGAGGTAACCAGGGACAGAATAACCGGCTTTTCTGAGGGACTCCCAGCTATGAAGCGGGGAGACAGGATTCTTCCTGCACTGGGCACCCAGATCACACTCCCCGCAGCAGCCTCATAAGGTGGCGCAGTGAGCCTGCCTGGAACACGTCTTCCCTCCCGCACTGGATCCCCTCCCTCCAGCTCCCGTGTCCCGGCTTTCTCGGAAGGCCTCATTCTTTTCCTGCCCTTCAGGCTTACTTTTCCATTTCTCTCCCTAGAACAGTGTAAGTTTCCTGATCTTTTCTGAGGGGTCCCAGGTCTCACTGAAAATCTAATGCAGCTGGGAATTCCCCAGCTGTCCAGTGGTTAGGACTCTGTGCTTTCACTGCCGAGGGCGTGGGTTCAATTGGGGAAAAAACCCCAAATAAACCCCAAAAAACTAACGCAGCTATGCAGCCTTTTGGCACAAAAAAAGCAAGTGACAACATACATACAAAAACCTTCCCAGTTTCAGGGAGTCATCAAAAACGCAGGCAGCGGCTTACGCATTGGTCTCTGAGCCCCAGGTTGGGAACCCTTGGCTAGAGACACTGACCACAGAGCTAGCACACAGCTCACACTGCACCCTGAATTATGGAATTAAAGGCTGAGTCCACTTCCAACGGGACAGGCACAAATTTGATTCTGTCCCCAGGATACCAAACCATGGCCTTGTTGCCTTCCTGAGAACTAAAATGTCTTCCTTATCTCTAGAGAAATACAGACTTCTCCCTGGCCTCCCTGGAAGCTGACTCCGTTGACAGGGTCCTCTATCAATGGAGTCAGCTTCCTTTGCCCCTCTTGCTCTCGGCAGAGGCTGCTCCTGCTGTCTGATGGGCACGTACGTAGTTGTCCCGGGCTGACCAGGTCGGGTAGAGCTGCGAGTGAAGCTGCCGCTCCTTCCGGGCCAGTTCATAGTACTTGGCCTGTTCTTCTCGGGACAGGTTGTGCCACTGCGGGAGAGAGGACCAGCGAGGACAGAGCGGTGAGCGTGGGGGACGCTGAGCCGCACAGCCTGGAGCACAAGGGCAGGCCTTACCTTTCTCCCCAGGATCTGGTTAATGGCTGCACTTTCCTTCAGGGTGCACTCGGCCACCACCTTGGCCCTCATCTCCTTCATATATAACATGAAGGCATTAAGAGGCTTCTTCACGTGGGGTTTCTTTTCTTCCTCTTTTTTCACTGTGACAGGTGATTTCCTGGGAAGTCATAAGGCTGTAGGTTAGCTGGTATCAGCTGTCATCTCTCTAGGAGGCTAAGGGCTGTCTGCCTCTGGGGAGGGAGATGCTGTTGCTTGGATGATAATGCAAGTTGCCCGGGGCTGCTTTCAGAGCCTGAGCACCTAGTTCCTAGCCTCTGACAGACCTCCGGCCATATTCCAGGAAAGGACAACTTCCTGACAATGGAACAGAGGGTGGTGGTGAGAGCTGGGATGCACTGGCTGCGGGTGAGAAAGAGGAGGGGGCAGGGCACTTAGGCAGAAACGGAGAGGGGAGGTCTCCTCGGCTATGAGGCACCGACTTTGGCTTTCCTGCTGTCTTTATGGCACAGTGGACAAAGCACAGGCCTTGGTGCTGGGCACAGCTCTGCCACCGGTCAGCCATGTGACCTTGAGAATATTCTCCTTTCTGGGCCTTACAATTTTCGCGTGTATGGGGGGGCGGGGTGGGAGGGGGAGAAGGAAGCTAAAAGCTCTCTCAGGTTCTCTTTCAGCCTCAAAGTCCTGGTTGTAAAACTTTCCTTAATGTGAGAAGAGATGCACGGTGTCTCTGAGAGGATGGGAACTCCAGGGGTCAAAGGGAACAGTTCCCAAGGGAGAGGGTGTAGTTGATGAAGCTGCCGGGCTGCCAGCTGAATGTCCCCAAGAAAGCAACCCATGGCACTCGCTGCTCAGAGACTGGCCACCCCCCATCAGGCTGCCTGTTACTCACGCGATCACGGCCGGGCTCAGGCTGGGGGGCGCCGGTTCCTGCTTGACGATGGGGGAGACGATAGCGGGGTGGGGGATCCCTGAGGTGGGCAGACCAGGATGGGCCGGAGCCACCATGTGAGGGGAGAACCGACTGGAAACCAGACTGTGTACCAGATGGAAACAAAGACAACAGAGGGATTCAGGCAGAATGCTTGTCACAGAGGATGTGGCGGGCCCCCAGTCTTGATGGTGGAGGCGTGTAAACACCTCTGCTGTGGCAGTGGTGGAGCAACGGAAGGCCATGCACTGACCTCGGCAGAACCGGTTTGGGAAACACCCAACAAACCTCCCCCCCACAAGCGTGCAGGCTTCCTATATCTGGTGCTGAAAGCAGGTAGGATGAAAAACACAAAAGAAGATGCAGCGGGTCTGAGGCCA